CCGCTGAAGCCCGCCGGCTCTTGCCGGCCCTCGGCGGCCCTCGGCGGCCCGCGGGGTCCGCGGCGGCGGGGTCCTGCCCGGCCGTGTCGGATGCGCGGCAGGTGCCGGCTGGCGGGGCGCACCCAGGCCACGCGGCCTCGCGCTCCTCGGCCCTTCCCTCGCGGCCGTCACCGCACCCCAAAGTTTCCCCAAGTGCCGCGGGCGGGCTGACCTGGGACGCGCTGTCGGGTGGCCGCGGTCCTTCGCCTTCCCGCCCGGCTCTCGCGCTGACGCGCCGTCCGCGCTGGGTGACCGTCCCCCACCCCGCGGCGGCCGCGGTCCCGGCCCCGGCCCGTGCGCCGGGCCCCCGCCCCTGCTCTGCAGACACAGGCTGGCCGCGGAGCGCCGGAGCGGGAGGCGCGAGGCGCGCACCTCGCCAGACGCCGGGCGGGCGCTTCCGCTGGGAGTGACGCGCCCGCGCTCGCCGCGCTGCAGGTGGGGGCGGCGGGCCAGCCCAGGCCCCGGGGGCCAGAAGATGCTCCCCGAGGCTCCGCCTTCCGCCTTAGCCCCGCCCCGTCCCCCTCCAGGCCGCTGAGCTTTGACAGCTGGGACTGGTGGGAGAGCGGAGGGGCAGAAGGCCAGCGTGGGCAGATGAGGAGGACCCCTGGGTGCCCCTGGTTCGGGTCTGTGTCCGCGTACCCTTTCATCCCATATCCGTTTTGTTGGCCTGAGATTCAGCTTACACGGGTCCCTTTCCCTGCTGTTCCTTTCCTCACTTCAGGTAAAGCCAGAGCCTCACTTCAGGATTGAACGTTCGCGGGAGCAACAGTTTTGTTTTTATTTTTATGACTTTCAGCTTCATTATATTCTAATTAAGATTTAACAAAGCAGCTAACAAATTTTCCAAGATAAATTTGAGGTATTATACTCCACTGAGATCTAAAAAAAGAAAGAAAGAAAAGAAAATTAAGTAGATGAACTTGTTTCAGCTCTTCCATATATCTTGAAAGAACTGGTGACAGAAATGATAGATCTTTTCTGACCAGATAATGTTAATCAAAACTAGCTTGCAGGAGCCAGGCTGGTGGCGAGCACTGAGGAGAAGGGAAGACACAGTAAAGAATTCAAGGCCAGCCTGCACCACATACTCACCTCAAAAGCAGCCTAGTTTGTAGTTTTGAGATCCCCAAAGGGGAAGATAATACAGCCCTGGGCAGACTTCCTTTATTTAAACAAAATCCCAGTGAAATGGTTCCTTCGGTAAACATCTGTCAAACATTCGCAGATCATCCTGCACAGAGGCAGGCCCTAAGAAGGTGGACAGCCTTTGTTTGCACACATTCATTTGGAGAGTCCCACAAAGGACAGAACAAACTTATGGAGACATGGGTGTCTCCCCTTCAACTCTTTTGAATAGTTTTATTAATGAATGTGTGTATATATCATACATATCAAAAGGTGTGGACCGCAAGTCCAGTGATTTTTGTACAAACTGAAGCATCATGCAGATCAAAAAACAGAACAATCCGAAACGTCCCCTGTATCTCCGCTTGGTGGCTTCTGTCTGCACAGAGCTGCTTGGCTGTGTTTGCTAACGCCACAGGGAACTTGTTTTGCTGCCCGGCTTTTCCCCCTCTTGTTGTGCTTCAGATAATGTTCTGTGCGTGGCTGTACTTTTCTTATGCTTTTAGAAGTGGGGTCCGTGGGGTCTGTATGTCTCAATTTTTTGTGCTCCTGGTAGATGCTTGGGCTATTCTTAGGCCTGGGAGAGTGCAAAGGTGCCGCTGTGCATACGGCACCTCCTGCCCACCTTCCCACATACACACTTCTGTGGGCCATCGGCCTGGGCGCAGGGCAGTGACTCATGGAGTCAGTGTGTGTTCAGCTTCTGTGGATGCTACACACTTCAACGTTGATCCAATTTTCACTCTTCCTTTGTTAGCTCCTTATCAATTGTTATCGCAACAAATCACCACATTAATATCATAAGATTGTGCTAGTTTACTTACCTGATTACACTTTTGGAGGTCAGAAGTCCAAATTTGGCTTTAATGTTGCTACAGCAGAGTTGGGGGGCTGTGCTGCTTCTGGAGGGCTCTAGGGTAGCGTCTGTTTTTCCCGCCTCTTGTGACTTTCAGAGGCTCTCTCCAATTCCTTGGCTAGTGGGTCTTCCTCCATAAACATAGGCAGACGCTTCTGTGTGTGTCTGTCTCTCTGTCTCTGTGTGCCTCTGGTATCTTTGTCTGTCTGTATGTCTCTGTCTGTCTGTCTGTCTGCCTGTCTCTCTTTCCCCTCGCTTCCCTGCTCTGGCTTGTCTCTTTCTCCCTCTGCCCCTCTGCCCCTCTGCTTCTTTCTCACCCGTGACCTCCCTGCCTCCCTTGGTGATTGATTCGCTCTAGGCTCACTTGGATAATCTGCCATCTCAAGATTCATAATTTAATCACACCTACAAAGCTCCTTTTACCACACAGCACAGCATATTCAGAGGCTCCAGATCTGAGGCTGTGAACTTCTTTGGCAGGCTGTCATTTGGCTTGCTACACCCACCACTGAAGTCTGAGAAGATGTTTGCTACAGACCAGAGATGCCTTGGGTGTGGGCATAAGGAAGCATGGAGGACTTTCCTCTTGACCTGGCCATTGCCAGGTCAGGAGAGGGGATGATGCTGGGGAGTCATTTCTGGCCACTGCTTCCTGGAACTTTCATAGAATTAGAGTCCAGGCTGCTTTGGGCTAGAAACACCTATGCTGAGTGAAAGGCTAGAGAAGGCAGGCCTGCTCCATCTGATTTATGGACTGCCGTGGTCCGGATATGCTCTGCCCAGTAATATATTGAAATGCAATTGCAATAGGGTACTGTAGAGATGGAGTGTTTAGGAGCTGAGGAGTTAGGAGAGCATGGCCCTTATGAAGGGTTAGGGCCCTTGAGAAACGGCCCAAGGAGTTAAGTCGGTGTCTGTGTACCCTCCACCATGAGAAGGACAGGGTCCATTCTCTGCAAAGGGTGGCGTAGCAGCACCATCCGAAGCCGCAAGAGCAGCCTTGTCTAGATGCTGAGCTTTCAGATTTTCCAGTCTCTAGAACTCACTCTGAGATGTGCTTTTAAATTGTCCCCAACCTCCCCAGTCTTTTGCTAGGGGCATATTAATAAACATTATAAACACTGGGACACTGGGGCTAGGGACAGTAAGAAGACAGTGGCTAACACATTCCATCTGTACCTTGGGCAAGGTCCTGCAGTCAGTGGAAAGTGCTGAGGCTGTGTGGAGAGGCTGTCTCTTCTCATCCTCCATTTCTTATACTAATTGGTTTCAGGACTCATGCAGGAACTGTGAGGACTGACTTAGCCACAGTAGCTAAGGTGAGGTAAGGGTAAGAAGAAAGGACCTCTGTCCTGCTGGTCCCCAAGGAGCCCAAGACACATAGCTTGAGACTCTAGATTAAAGCCAGCACAGCAGCCATGTCTGAGAAGGAGGTAGGTCGGATGCTGTAGCTCTGTCTTGCCAGCAAGACCTCCAGGGCTCCAAGGTACTCTTAGGAGGGGAACCTAGAGAGGAAGAGCTTTGTGACTCTTCCCGATGTCCTTTGTGCCAATCCACCTGGTAAGGAGGCTTCCTAAGACCCTAGCAAAGGAATCCGAGGAGGTAGAGCAGGGCAAGGGCTGGAAAGCTCATTGAAGGCATCCTACATAGGGGGTGACAAATCGGAACATCTAGAACATGACACTCCTTGTCCTCGTGGTTTAGGCTTCAAATATGTCCTAAGAAAGGTAAAAACAGATGCTTGTCTCTGATGAGAGTCTTCACAATAAATTCCTCAATCTAGTTTCTATCTTCTAGAGAAAAATTGGGAATTTTGCTCTGTTGACAGGAAGACTGTCACAGGTTTGTGGCCAGCCTACGCTACACAGCAAGATTCTGTCTCATAGCAGAACAAAACCCACAAAGCAAACCAAATCAATGGGATAAAGGAGCTGAAAAGATTAGTAGTGAGAGCCAATGCCTCTCTCCAAAGATTGTGCTTGGTGAAGCCAGAGTCAGGAGTGATGCATCTCGGTAACAAAGCAGTTACCTGGTGTGCATGGGACCCTGGATTCTGTGACCTGCACTGATTCTGTGCACCCACCCATGAAGCCCAGTCCAGTATTGCTCTGTCTCTCCAAGACACAGCTTCCTATGTATTCTGCTGAGATGTCCCCTACTCTTTGCTATGGGAAGTGAGAAGCTCATATATTTTTCTCCCAGTATATTGGCCTGTTTGACTTTATTAAAAAGCTCTGATTTCCCAAAGTTCAAATGCCAATGGCTTGCTTCTTGGTCTTTATAAATGGCTTAGTAAATAACCTGTAGTAGAGAGGACAAGAGAAAGCCATGTATTTTCCCAGCCTTCAGTGGCTGGATCAAAGTCCTGTCCTGGAATGCAGAGATTCCCAGCTGTATGGTTAGACTGCTGTGCCCCGGGACAGAGGGCTGATGCGTGAGAAGAGGACAACTGTCCTAGAGAATCTATTTAGATAAAAGTTAAAATAGCTTTGGGTAATTTTAGTGTTTTAATTAAGTCGTCCTACACCCCCTCCCCTGCCTGCAAGTCTGGAGTGGATACAGCCAGCTTCTTTTCCTTTCCCTTTCTTATTTGTTTTAACTCTTACACAGTGCTCTGCCTGCAGGTATGCCCGAGTGCCAGGAGAGGGCACCAGATCTCATTAAAGATGGTTGTGAGCCAATATGTGGGTGCTGGGAATTGAACTTGGGAACACAGGAAGAGCAGCCAGTGCTCTTGACCTCTGAGCCATCTCTCCAGGATGGTCCAACTGGCTTCTTTTTCTTTCATTAGTAGCTTAGGTCTCATGTTCACAAAATGGCTGCTTAACTTCTTGACCTCATATCCACAGTGCAAGCCTGACGGGTTGGGGTCAAAATAAAGAAAATGGATGGCAATTGTATGTCCTTTGTTTAATAATAATTAAAAAAAAAAAAAGCAGTATACTTCCTGGGTTCCGCTTGGCTTGTGGTTTCTACCCACAGGGACAGGATGAACTGGACCACAAGCTGTCTTTACCTTTAATAGAAACAAAAATTGTTTTTCTTCCTTTTTTCTTTCTTTCTTTACAAACAGAGTCGTTAGTAAAAAGGGTAGAATAGCATCTGTCTCCCACTATGGCCCAGGAGCTTTCCATTCTATCCTTTTATCTCAGCTAATGTAACCAGATTCATAATTTAAAATAGTGTCTTTAAAGAACACATTTGCTTGTAACATGTGTGAAGTATTTCTGGAAAGATGCATAGAAAAATGTAATTATAGGCCCTCTCTGGAGATGGGAACTGAGGGGACGGGAGACAGTGATGGGAGGGAGGCATGTTTTGTTTATACCCCACATGCATTTAGACAATGTAAATGTAATGCTTATTTCAGAAATGAAGACGATGTAGAACCG